ACCCCAGATGGCTCAAATACTGCCAAGTCAACCCAAGCTTTCTCTCACTACAGCATCGTAGTCCATGATACCACTGGTCCCAAGGGGGACAGAGGGGTTACTCAGGTGTTGTGGAATACTGTCCAGGTGTGCCATGACCATCATCATCTTAATCACATCTGTGACTACCAGCATGAAACCTTCCCAAGATCAGGCCTAAGGATGTCTCTTAAAGGAGAGCAGGTCAGGTAGCAGGGTATGGTGACACATATGCCTTTAATCCCAGCACTCAGGAGACAGAGGCAAGCAGATATCTGTGAGTTCCAGGTCAGCCAGAGCTACATAGTGAGACCTGTCTCAAAATACCAAATTTCAGAGAGAGAGAGAGAGAGAGAGAGAGAGAGAGAGAGAGAGAGATTGAGAGAGAATGTCTTTATACCCTCATAGAAGATTCCAGCCACACCCTCCCCCTGTTCAGTTGCCTGTGGTGTCTGGAGGCCCTGGGGTAAAACAGGGACTCTTATGTCTGTACCTTTCATGAACTGTCACCCATGTGACTCACAGCTATGCAGCTTTTTGGGGGGGGGAGGGGTTCACCCATGCTCCTGAAAGGAAACCCTCACCCGTGCTTTTACGAGTAAGCCCAATAAACTCACTGGCTCACCAAGCCAGACTTGGGGGAAATCATCTGTTGTTAGTGTCCTCTCTGAGGTAAAGAGGTGATGTTTAAGTCTCCCCAGGAAAAGTTAACCCAAGGTTCCCACTGTCCCCAGCAGGTCTTAGTCTACAAATTCACTGGCAGATTTAGAAGGGACACTGTGGGATGGCTGGATGGTGGGTGGATTAGAGGAGGTGAAAGGAGGTAAAGCAAGTCCCAGAGCCTAACAAAGCCATTGTGTGGTTCAAGGGAGAATGAGGAGGGCCTGAGCAGGGCAGGCCAATGAGGCAGAAGGAAGCAGTAACATGATCCTTCCAGAACATACAAGCCATGTCCTACCTGTAGGACCAACCAATGAGTCGCTCCCTTTCTGAACAGTCCAAATCAATTTCATGGTCACCTTTCAAAGCCCAAATCCAAAGCCCTTCTCAGAAACCTGTGCAGCCACCAGCCATGAGGTTAACCACCTCTTTACACACCTGTACCTGCAGGATGCTCACCCTCGGCCTCACCAGGGTTCAAATACCAGCTCCTAGGGAGAGCAGCCAGCCAGGGCCGGGGTAATACCATCAATGTTGCTAACAGGCTTGCAGAGCACAGTTGGAACAGCCTGGCACCTGCCCCACCCACCTTGAATCTGCCCTGCGATGGCAGATTCAAGCCATGCTCCTTGGGAAAAATGAGATGTCAGATGATGGCACCAAACCCCAAAGGCAGGAGAATCAGGGAGCTGAGTCCCGTCGTCCTAGTGCCTGCGATAGTGTCTTGTCTCTTAAGGCAGAGACTGGAACCAGGGTTTCACTCTCCGATGTCTCCAAGATGCAATGCACCTGGCACCTGTGTGCCAAACTGAACAGTGAAGACCTGTGGGCGAGTCTGGGGACAGTTAGAGGTTCCTAATGAACAGGATTGGCTTCGAAGCCCTGACCCGACAGACCTTGTCCAGAACAGGTCACTCTGCTGAATCGTGAAACAGGGAGGGGGCAGCCAACCAACCATGACCTGCGAACACTGGAAGCCTCCAATGGACCATCTGCAGAGATCAAAGACACAGACCAGGCACCTGGCCACCCCTAACCTCTACAACACCCCCATGGCTCTGAGAACTTGTAGGGTCAGCAGACTGAGGCTGTAGACACACTTCCGTTCCATTTTCTCCTCTGTGAAAAGATCAACAGCCTGAGCTGTCCCACTTCCTTGCAAGGGACCCTGGGAGGGTGGCACAGGCAGTTTGTGCCAAGGGACATTGGGTTGCACCAGAAAGCCTTGGTGACAAACATCTCTACAGCCATTGCTGCTCACGTCTGACAACTTCATCTGCCAAAGAGCTGATGATAGAAGTGAGGCCCCTGGGACCCACCATTATCTGCCAGCTGACCCGGCTTCCCTCCATCCCAGTGTTCCTCTGGGGGAAGGCCCTGCATATCACAATCACAACCACCTGGATTCTAGAATCCCATGGGGGTGGGGGGTGGGGGCAGAGACAGAGGCCTGGAGGAAGATGTGGAGAGAAGTCAACAAGGCTTCAAATCAGCCTGCAGATACTCAGAAAGGAAGAACCAAGGAACCCTAAACCATTCCCTGAAACTCGGCATCCCAGGGGTCCAATCTCAGCCTGTCCTCACTGCTGAACCCAGAACTACCCCGTGCCAGGAGCAGGAGTGTACAACCAGGCCTGGGAGATCCTGGAGCAGCGGCTGACTGCACATGGGCGCTAGGAGCCTCTACCTCTCCCTTTACAACCCTGAGCTCCCTGGGAGATCCTGGAGCAGCAGCTGACTGCACATGGGCGCTGGAGCCTCTACCTCTCCCTTTACAACCCCGAGCTCCCACTGTCCCCAACTGCCATCATCCGGACACCATGGCTACCTGTGCTGGAGTAATCACAAGCTCTGCCTGTCACCCCTGCCCACAGCCCACCCAAGTTCAGATGAACAAGGCCCCACCACAACCCCATCTGGTCACCCGGACACATCCAGGTCTCTGACGTCCACCAGCTGGCTCGACAGATGCTAAGAGCCCAGTGGGGAACGCCTTCTGGACTCGAACCTTTAGCTGGAATCTTCTGAATACCTCAGAAGTAAAAGAGGCCCCCAGTTAGATCCCCCAGTCCACAGACAGAGAGACCAGGGAGAAAACTGAGAGAAGACTGATTCCTACCCTGAATTCCACTTCTAGCCTTTCCCGAGCAAAGCATCAAAGCCTGACTCAGGAACTGACTCTGAGCTAATGTCCACCCCAAAACACAGCTGGCTTTTTTTATTCAAATTCATAATAGCCCCCAACTATAAACAACTCAAAGTTCTCTCATCAAATGATTAGGTAACTGAATAGTGGTATATCCAAAAAGTGGAATAGTACTCAGCAATAAAAAGGAAGAGCGGGTATAGGTAAGAACATGGACAGATCCCACTAACATGTTGATAAAAAAAAAAAAAAGGTCCCAATTAAGAGGACATACCACAGCAGTGGACCTCAAATCGGGTTCCAGAGGCAAACTAAATCTTCAGAAAAATTCTGAAGATCAGAATAGAAGTTACCTTGGTGATTGGTAGGGTGGTTACTGCCTGAAACAAGGCAAGTATTCGGGGTACTGGGAATCTATATTTGGGTAGCAATTACTTGAGTGTACCCATACCTAAAAGCCTGTTGATCTCACACTTAAAAGTAGTCTATATTATACACGTGTGCAGTGCATATATGATATATACATACATGAGTTAGAAGTGTATGTTTTAGTGGCAAAGTCCATTGACAGTCAAATTATAACTGATACTTGCCTGAAAGTGGGGTAGCTGAGAGACACCCACTCATAAACTCCTACCCAACCTTCAAAACCCATCTCAAACTGTCCCCATTCTGTGGGAGCTCTCCCTCAGTTCTAGTTCTAGGAGTCACTTTACCCTGCATTCCTTAGTAACAATTGATCTTGAAATTGGGAGTTGACCCTGGGGGAAGAAAGGAACTTGTGGCACTAAGCTACCTGGGTGAGCATGTGCTCATTAAAATGCCTAGAGATTGCCTAAGATACATAATAGACACACACATAAGACTTGACAGCCAGATGTCATCCCAGCCAAAGGTATACCAGGAATACCCAGCCTAGATAAGATGCTGGTTCTTGGCCATGGGAAGCTAGGCACCCAGCTATTCTGCAAAAGGAACCGTTTTCACCACAGCAGGTTCAACCCTCCTCCTCTGACACAAATCACAGCAGCTAAACAGCAGAGACTCCCAGAGGACACAGTCCCCAGTGCACACTCCCCGAGCCTTCCAGCTGGCTCTTTTTCAGGTCACCTCTGCCTGCACTGCCCTTGCCAAACCTCAGGCTCAGAGGTCCACGTGAGCTCCCAGGAAACACTGTCTCAGATGTAATGTTTAATCTAGACTCTTCCCCACCCCCAGCCCCCCCTGCTAGGGCTCCCTGCCTTACCGGCAAAGGGACACCCACAATCCTCCAGACCCTAACTCTGCCCAGAGCGCCCTGCTGGATTCCGGGCACCTTCGGTCTTGACTCCACACCCCCAAGTCAGCAGGGGAAGCGGCTAAGAAACTCCACCTGGGCAGACCCAGGTGGGTGAAGAGAGGCCGGAAGTGGACTTCTGTCCAGTCTTGCAAAGCCCCCATAGGAAGAGAGAGGGCTGGAAGCACACTTCCGCTTGAGGGCAGTGGCCTCTTGGGGTGGAGGATGGGCCAAGTTTATCAGTGATTTTCGTTTCCTTCAGGTATTTTTTGCTTGCTAAGTTTCCACTTTGAGTGCATTCTTTTAAAGACCTTTGTTGGCAGCAGACCACCAGGCGCATGTCAGACACACTGGTTACCGTGGTTTCTCCTTCATCTTGCTCAGACTGGAGCTTTGGTCCCAGTTCCTTCTCGGGGTTGTGGGGTGGGTAGGGAAGGTCTCCTGACCCCTTACAGCTCCCTGAAGTCCCCACACTACAAGACCCTAGGAAAGAGGCTAGTCTGTCCCCACCACCCCAAGCCCTCTTCGGGTTCGAACTCGTCCCCTGGGGGCGCCGCTCCTCGCTGCCATCTTCAAAGGCACTTCGGAAGTGCTCCAACTCTGCTGTGCACACACTCAGTTGCACTTTCTCCTGTCCCGGACCTGGGCCACGTCCCTGAGAGTCCACCTACGAACTTCTCCGAACTCCCAGCGGCGGGAAGGAGGGCGTGATGGTCCCCAGATGAGAATGGGGTGCACGCGCGCGTACACACACTCACACACGTGCACACACTCACACGCGCGCTCGCGCGCCGCCCCACCCCCTGGGCCACCGCCAACCCGGCCCAGGCCAGCGATAGCCGGCTCCAGGGCGCGCGGGGACGCGGCGGGGACACCCCGGGGAGCCCGGGGCTGCGGTACCTTGCAGGTTCTGCACTCGGATGTCGCTGATCTGGCCGATGAGCTCCTCGCGCTGGAACCAGTCCCACTCCAGCGTAGCCATGAAGCGCGCGCAGCGGGCCGGAGCGCCGGCGGCGGCGGCGGCGGCGGGCG